CCGTAGGGTGTTATTTCACTCTATAGGTAACTATCGAATTATAAAGCATGTTTTTATTTCGTTCAATTCATTCCTATGGCATTCCCGACTTATATTTTAACCAAATCGAGCTCCATGGGAACAAAAGTAAGATTGAAATCGATTTTACTAATTTTTTTGACTGTAGCCCTAAAAACCGTCTTGTTAATCGATTAATTTCTTCGTTGTTCCATAACATGGACACTGGAAAGGTGGCCGTGAGCTCCCGGTTCAGTTAAGCACAAAGAATTTTATCAGTCGTCATTTTCTGCACTCTGCATTGATAAAACCAACAAGAAGGCTTTCTGGATTCACATAGACATCAAAGTGCCACTGGAAATTAAAAAAAACATGTCTTGGCTACTATCAATATTTATAAATCCGAATTTGCAATGCATTTAACCATTCGAAAGCCTCTCCAAATTTGTACCGTTAATCACATGCCGTATGCACCGGTGCCGGCGTCTTGAAACTTAAGAGACAGTGTTTTAAAACAGTTTGAGAGAAACTTTAGATTTTGGGTTGAATTTTAATGAGATTATCTCTTCATTGGAGTGAATTGACAACATGGAGATAATCACCGACTTCTAATGCAAACCAAGGGATGCGAGTTTTTGTAATCATGGATATTCTCAACGGGCAGACAAATATTCCTGAAGGTAATAACGTCCATCAGACTTCCACGGTAAAATGGACGCAGTTCATCATAAATTTGACAGGCTCCACCTTTCACAAGCATACTGTGTTAAGAAAATTTGGCAAAAAGCACTTCACTAACAAGTCGATGTAAGTTAGCGCAAAAAATGTGGCATATCTAGGAACGCATGAATTTAGTAATTGTAATTGTAATTTAGTAATTTGCAATTGTAATTATTAATTTAGTAATTTGTAATTTAGTAACTTAGTAATTGTAGTAATTGACACCATAGTTGCATTAGGGTACAGCCCTTGACACTACTGCCCACTCCTGCACGGTCACTTCTTCATGAAGTTGGCCTCGCAATTTGGTGCAGTTTGGACCCAGTGTGCCAGAGCCACGGTTTCGGTGGTTTCGCGCGACCGAGCAGTGCTGTGTGGGCGTGAATCTGGAGCACAAATCAACCAAGGCGGGGTGGCGCATGTGTCGTTGAAGCGGGGGGAAGGGGCGGGTTGGTGCGAAGCAGCGCCACCGGCCTGAGCTCCACGTAGCAAATGAAAACAGCACAGACGTCTCCATTGAGTATCACAC